TAGGTTAACAGGGTCCACCACGGGAAGGTGTGGGTTGGCAGAGGGGTAGAGAGGCTATAAACCCAGGGAATGACTTACATGTTGCCTCCTTTTTCACCAAGAAAAAGATCATGATTAGGGCCCATACACTGTGCAAGTCCAGCTGGATGGCTCTGTGTGCATGTGAGACGCATCATTCCCCCTCCCCCTTAGAACCCCAAAATTTGGTAGTGAATGGGCGTATACAAAACAGTCACTGACAACCAAAGTGTTTCAGGTTTCACATTAGATGTGTAAAGTATTTATAATGATGCTAATCACCTACTAACAAGAAAGTTCATGGTCAGAACAATTAAATAGCACCCGGGCAAACCTGGGTAGTCTAACTTCTACCTGTCCTCCTAATTACATTTTATTGAATTTTAACAATTTTAAATTTAAAAAGATGGAGAATAGGCCTATACTTTTCTTAAATATTCATGTATGTTTTTCATGTTATGTAACATGTATACATCTCATTTGTATTGTTGAAGGCGCCATAAAATCAGCTCACACTGGTTGGGTCACCCTCGCGAAATATGGTTGAATAAATAAATAAAAAATACAATTTGTATTATTGTACAGTAGGTGGTTTTTAGTGTAGCATCACTGCTCGCTGTAGCCTACTTTATCATAATTGCATTATGTTTATCATTTTAATTAATTATCACATGATAATTTATACTATTATCACAGGCATCCATACTACTCCAACTCGTGTACTCGTTCTTCCGATACATTTCTTCTTCAAGCCCCTTCAAAAAGGAGAAAGCTAAAAACATATGGACAACGCTCTTTTTCTGTTCAGGCACCTTATCTTTGGAATCTATTACCTCTTTCTGTTCGACAATCTTCAAATTTAAACTCATTAAAAACTAATTTGAAAACTTTTTTGTTTACAAATTCGCTTTAATTGGGTTAATTGTTCACTGCGCCTTTTATAATGTTTTTTGAATTGGCGCGTTATAAATTTCTGCATATTATTATTAACATGAATGATCTCAATATATTGGGACAATAATTACATTTGAAAATTATTGCAGTTGTTGTTTGTAGCACTGAGTACCTGTACTTGGATGATTAAATTACAATCACTAAACCCATTTTTTTTATGTATCTACAGCTAATTAACTTTCAAAACTGCTTCAGAACTGTGTAAAAATGCCTATCTCTCTTAAGCCTCGTATGGTACCACTACATGAATGCGTTTCTATTCCGTCGTGCCACGTTTCACTGACTGATAAGTAATGCCTTGCTTGAATGGCTATCAGCAGAAACCTTACCAAAAACAATGAATAATATGATATCTTCGTAAGTACTTGGCCATTTTTAACGGGAAAGCGTGCAAATGTTCAAAGCCATAAAATACAATATTATTCGTAGCCCACTATATAATTTATGCCATAACAATATAAAATAAATATGTATCAGTCAAGGATTGCTTATGTATAGGTGTGAAAACCTAGGAGATTAATCACCAGATAAAGGCTCTGTCTCTTATACACATCTAGTTAACGTATGAATGGTTTTATTTACCTTTTCAAGACTTTTTTCCTACCCCACAATTCTTTATACCGGTATCTAATTTTGCTGAGAGTTTCGCTTGAACAATTTCGTGTAACTTTTGGTATCTGCACAAGACATGTTTCCAATGTTGAGATGTCGAGATAATCTCAGAAGAGAGGCAGGTAGCTGACTCTCCGGAGTTTTACAGTATTTTTATTTTTTTTGCCTTTAAGCTGCTGGCACCTGACTATTGTAGTCTTGCTTGATTTTGTATTGTCTGTTTTTATTTTTATCTTAAGATAAATAAATGAAATAAATGTTGGGAAAATTTAAATTGTTTCTTTTGTAAATTTGCTGTCAAATTGTCAGTCGAATTAATGTATATTTTATTTGAATAGTAAATAATTGCTAGATAGGATGATTTATATAAAAATGGTGGTGGTGGTAGTGCTATTCTTTATATTTAAAAATGGAAAACTGGATACGAAAACGGAAGCTCGAACCAGAACCATTTTTATTTTACGCAAAATTAAATTAAGTAGGCCTAAGCAATGCTCTCATCAAAGTTTCATAGCCTATCTTCTCTAATTCAATGTGTTTGGGATTCGAGCGTGAAAAAAAGATAAAAATGCATTGTATAATGGTTTATACAATAAACTATTTACATATTGTAACTGATATTAAATATACGATTCAGCTACATAACTTGACATGCCAAATTACTCTGAAGACATTGGGCATGCATTAACAATCATGAATACAAATGCTGGAATGAATACATATGATGGAAACTAGCATAAAACAAAAAATAAATAATAAACAAAAAGGTGTTCTTGCTGCACTATTAAATATAATACATATAATACATACATTGTGAAATGAGGGGAAAATACTCCTAAAATTATGGTTTATATAC